GTTTGCTGCTGCAGCTGCAAGGGCCTCTCCAAGAGCAGCAGCTCTTGCTGTTGCTGCTGCTGCTGCTGTTGTTGCTGTGGTTGCTGCTGCTGTTGTTGCTGCTGCTGCTGTTGCTGCTGCTGCTGCAGTGGGATGCCCTGCTGCTAGAGTGGCAGTGCATAAGCTGTCGGCTTCTATTACTGTGGGTATTTGCTGCTCCCTTGCTTCTCCTGCTGCAGCAGCAACGGCTGCTGCAGTAGCAGCTGCTGCTGCTGCTTCAGCAGCAGCAGCAGCAGCAGCTTCTGCAGCAGCTGCTGCTCTTCGGCGTGCACAGGCAGCCTTTGCTGCTGCTGCAGCAACGGCGTTGCTGGAGGTGTATTCCTTCGTCGGTGTGCAATGCTGTTGCTGCTGCTGCTGCTGCTGCTCTTGCTGCTGTTGCTGTTGCTGTTGTTGCTGTTGCTGCTGCTGCTGCTGCTGCTGCTGTTGCTGCTGCTGCTGCTTCTGGGTGCGTGGGGAGGTCACGACGGTGCCAGGGAGCTGCGGCCTGCATAGTCACACATAAAGGGGTTTTCTGCTGCCTTCAACCCCTGCTGCTGCTGCTGCTGCTCTTGCTGCTGCTGCTGCTGCTGTTGCTGCTGGTGCTGCTGCTCTTGTTGTTGATGCTAATGCTACTGCTGGTGATGCTGCTGCTGCTGGTGTTGCTGCTACTGTAGTTGCTTCTATTGCTGTTGCTTCTACTGCTGCTGCTGCTATTGCTTTTGTTGATATTGATGCTGTTGCTGCTGCTGCTGCTGTTGTTGTTGCTGTTGCTGCTGCTGCTGCTGCTGCTAATGTGCAGGTTTTAACAGCAGCAGCAACAGCAGCAATGTATTTCTCGTTGTCTCTGCTTTTGTCTTTGTTCTTCCGCATCTGTGGGTTTGTGCTTCTGCTGCTGCCGCTTCTGCTACTGCTGCTGCTGCGTCTGCTGCTGCTGCTGCTGCTGCTGCTGCTGTGAAGCTACTCTCTGTCCGTTTGTCTGTTACTCGGCCAGTTTGTTGGCGCTTCTCTCAGCAGCAGCAACAGCAACAGCAACAGCAACAGCAGCAACAGCAGGAACAGTAGCAGCAACAGCAGCAGCAGCAGCAGAAGCATCAGCAGTAGCAGCAGGAGAACCAGCAGCAGTACCAGTAGCAGCAAAAGCAGCAGCAGTAGTAGCAGCAAAAACAGTAGCAGGGGCAGCAGCAAATGTAGCATCAGCATCAGCAGCAGGAGCAGCAGCAGCAGCAACCTCAACAACAGCTGCAGCAACTAAAGGCCTACCAGCAGCAGCAGCAACTCGTTCAGAATGTCAGCAGCAGAAGCAGCAGCAGAGAAGCAGCAAGAACAAACACAGTAACAACCGTTACAGCAATAGTAGCGGCACCAGCAGCTGCAGGAGCAGCTGTATTAACAGCAGCAGCAGCAGCAGCAGCAGCAGCAGCACCATCACAAGCATCAGCAGCAGCAACAGCAGCCGCAGCATCAACAGCAGTTGTTGCTGCAATTGCAGCCGCAGCAGCAGCTACAGTAGAAGCAGCAGTAGCAGGAGTAGACAGCAGCAGTAGCATCAGCAACAGCAACAGCAACAGCAGCTGCAGCAGCTGCTGCAGCAACGGCATAAGTAGCAGCAGCAACGGCGGCACCAACAGCAGCAGAGGTAGCAGCATCCACAGCAGTTGCAGCAGCAACAGCCGCAGCAGCAGCAGCAGCAGCAGCAGCAGAAACTGCAACGTTCTACGCTATCCAGAGCAGCCGGAGCAGCAGCAGCAGCAGCAGCAACAGCAATAGCCGCAGCAGCAGCAACCGCAGCAAAAGTAACAAACGTAACAGCAGAAGAAGCAGCAGGAGCAGCAGCCGCACCACGAGCACGCAGCT